ACAAACAGAAAATATGGGTGTTTAGGTGACCAAATGTGCAATATTCAATGTCTTTAGAGACGAGTTTACTCGAGTTCGCAAGGTTATCTTAACTGAATATTTGAATAAAATTGATAAGGAGGTGTAAACATTGATTCATCTCAAGAAATTCATCATCTTCAAGAAATTGCTAACTGAAATAAGTTTTCTGGTCTTGTATAAGCGATGATCTTCAAAAACGATTCAAGAAATTGGGATCGTAAATATCATATCGCAATTCTCGTAAGTTGTGACATGACGGAAATTTTCTAGTTATCCTGGTGTTTAATTCCGAAATTAATTTTACATTCAAACGACCAACTGAACTGCGGAATTATTCTAAAAAAGACGATTTTGCGGTGAACCTCATTTTTAATTTATGTACTTTTCTTAGAAGTTGTGCTACTCGCAATAGTTTTCTTTATAACCTTCAACGTGATGCAACTGACTTATAGAAAGTTTTTATTATCATCGTCTCTTTATAGCGCATCATGAATGTAAAGAATCGAAGCTTTATGTAAGAAATTTTAAATGGTGGGATGCTACCCTTTTTCTTATTTTCACTCTCAGTGTATTCCAATTCATTATGAAGTATACGTTCGCTTATTATAGTTTGAGAACAATTTTCATGGAATTTTCAATTTTGTGCAAGCTTCGTCCTATTCAGATTTTGTTTGCATTATAGCACATGTAAAAAGTTCTAATACTGAGGCATCATTTAGAAAAATCACTCAGACGTAACTTTTCAGCTGGTATTCCTATAGAGATTCCAAAGTTTAGCTTTTTAACGTTAACGACGCAAATAACAGAGTTCTACTTCTTCTAATAATATCACTTAAAAGTTTATTTGAATTTGTCGATAAAACTGGACTCATTATCAATATTATGTGCATTTTTTAACAAATAAATTTTATTATTGATTTTCCATATCACCAATTCCTTTCAGGTACTGGATTAAATTAGACAATAAAGTAATCTAGTATTGGAAACATTGCTGCTATGTGAGAGCAATGAGCGCCCTAAGTCAAAAGAACTTCATGAGGTAGCGTGAGCATTGAGCAAATTATGAGCATTTATTGTTGCATGTGTTCACCTGCTCACAAATATGATTATTGCTACAGCCCTGAGACGACATATAACATAGTTACTGTACAAAATTAATTTCGTGATTAATGCATTTCTTAAATTTTGAAATTTAAAAAAATATATCTTACGACTTGTAACAAAATACTGGCAAATGACATGGAATTTAACAGCTTTTGTGCTTTGCAATAGCCTTGTATTTATACGCACATGATTGGAGCTTTTTATCAAGTCTTTAATTGACCTAGAATGGTCAGCAGTACAGAGTAAATTTTCTGCCATCAATATTATTGGTTTAAGGGACTCCTATTATCTTCTCTTTCCTATTTAAATTAGATTCATGACTCTCACATATATAAGGAGAACTCTCATTTAAATTATTAGAGTTTTACTTCTTGTTCATAAGAAAATGGCTTAAAAATGCGAAGAATAAAATAATTTTAGCATCAAGTATAAATAATAAATTTTTCGATTTTCTCTATGACTGCTGCACTTTTACCGTGCGCATTGCGTAAGTAACAATGATATTTGTCAAGACATATGTCAGCTGTTGTACTTTAGTGTGTAAATTAAATTTCTGCATTCATTAAAAGCTCTTAATGTATGAGAAGGTTCACTTAGTTTTAATTTGGGAACTTCAACTTAAGGTAAGTAGTCATCCTTTGACGAGTGATTGTGTAAATTGGCAACGTTGGCCTTAACGATCGAGTTCAATGTTATGCTATATATCAAGGTACAGTTATTTCATATTTCATACCATAATCACCATTGCACTTGATCAGTTGTTTAACATGTCTGTTCCAAATGAATAATAATGAAGTCGATACTTAGATATAACATCGCAAATCATTTTAATTGCGGATGGATAAAACATAAAAAAATGTTTAAAGCAAGCTTCTTTCGAAATTAAAATAAATTAAAGTTCAATTTGCGTTTGAAAATTCGATCAAAATCGGTAACTTAAGTTTGGAAGGCTGTCGAAAGTCCATAAAAATTCGAAATAAGACATAATATAGGAAAAATGTTTTCATTCATAATTCCCACAGATTATGAATATTTACCTTGTTCGCAAACTGCACGAATCGAGATAATAGTAGAGTTAAATCAATGTCACAGTAACATCTCAATAATGGGAAGCAGTAATAAAAAAATTCAGTGATGGGAGTATCTCCGTAAGCAATAACGGGAACTTTTATAAGTAATGAGAACATCGCAATAAAAGAAACAGTAATGAAGACATTTCAATAATGGAAGCAGTAATGAGAACACCTCAGTAATGGATCAGTAATGAGAACATCGCAAAAAAAAACGAAACAGTAATGAGAACATCGCAGAAATGGCAGCAGTAATGAGAACATCTCAGTAATGGAAGCAGTAATGAGAACATCTCGGTAATAGAAAGCAGTAATGAGAGCATCTCAGTAATAGGAAGCAGTAATGAGAGCATCTCAGTAATGGAAGCAGTAATGAGAACATCTCAGTAATGGAAGCAGTAATGAGAACATCTCAATAATGGAAGCAGTAATGAGAACATCTCAGTAATGGAAGCAGTAATGAGAACATCTCAGTAATGGAACAGTAATGAGAACATCACAAAAAAAGAAACAGTAATGAGAACATCTCAGTAATTGGAAGCAGTAATGAGAACATCTCAATAATGGAAGCAATAATGAGAACATCTCAATAATGGAAGCAGTAATGAGAACTTCTCAATAATGGAAGCAGTAATGAGAACATCTCAATAATGGAAGCAATAATGAGAACATCTCAATAATTGAAGCAGTAATGAGAACATCACAATAATAGGAAGCTGTCTTTATTAAGACATTACCGTGCGCCTGTCAATGATCTGTCAAGGACTTTTCTGCGCGTCTATTTTGGGCAGGTGAAGAAAGTGAGGCCTTTTAGAGCCGTCCACGATGATTCAGCACATTCATGCGGCTCTTGGCTGCATACTATACACATTTGTAGAAAATTTCAAGAAGTTCTCAAGATCATTAAGAGCTATCTTTGAATTGGTAATTAGAAGCTCATCTTGAATTATTAATTGAGTGCTCATTTGAATTTTTAATTTTTAAGCTGTTTAGGACTGACTATTAATTAAGAGCTAATTTTAAATTATTAATTAAGAGCTCTTCTTGAATTATATATGAATTTAAGCTCAGGAAGACGGATAAGGTTGCACATCACAGTGCGCTGGATTTTTAGATTTTAAGTGCATTAAGGAAATTCAATGCTACCTCCACTGTAACAAATTAAGATACTAATTTTAACATATTAAGGATACATTGATACTAAACTAACTATTAATAATAATAAATATAATAAATACAGATGAATAAATAAATAAAAGCCAATGCTAAATTTCTCAAACGTACAGTACATCTTTAGCCATGAACAAGTTATTTGTTTGTCAACAAATATTAATTCATGTATTTCTATAAAGTAAGTCCCCATTTAAATTTAATGGTTATAGAGGCTCGGATCGAAAAATCCTAATATATATTGAAATTTATGACTTTTCACAGCATAAGTTGAATTAACATGTGGCTCGCTTTACTACATTGCGACACCCTACGATACGCTCAGAAACTAAAAGTTAGCGAAAACAAATGATCGGATTTTAGGAGTGCAAATAGTACTGCATTCTATACTTACAGCCTCCTGCAGCTGATAAATGCTGTGCCAGCACCGGAAATAATTATTGGAGCCATTGAAAATAAGTTTTAATGACATAAACATTCAGTTACGCGAGGCCAATAGAATTTGAGTAAAATGGCTTTTAAATAATTTCTGAAACAAACGAGTTAGTATAACTATAGATGGAATTAGACGGGACTCCATATACAGAAAATAAGTGGGTACAAGCATAAATTGTAGACGATGTTATATAGATTATAATTAACAATCAAATTTAGTATTTATGTTTGTTCAACTGCACTGCATTCAAACTGCAAACCAAACACCTATAATGAAAAATCTTTAATAGAACTGATTATTATAGAATAATAACACGTAACGAAAATTGATAGGAAAATTTACGGAAGTTCAGGTTCAATGCAATAGTTATTGTTTCCCTGTTATTTTCAGATATCATTTAAAATTCAAAATGAATTGCTACGATTTGTGTGCCTGATTGGTAAGTGCATTATATGATATAATTTTACATGCAATCAGATTCTAATAATAATCGCAATGGATGAGATAAGAATGTTCGTGTTTTTTTTTTTTGTTTAAAAAAATGATTTGAAAAGTGCAACATCATGGTGCCAGGCTCGATTGACTCTGAAATGAGGTTCATTCTTGAAGTGCACCAGTTCTTTCAGGCAAGCGTGGATTTTTTAAAATTCATTCCGAATGGAATTTACCAGAATCCTTGTTTTTCTTGCATATTGAGCGGCTAAATCTGCTCTTCCGTGCGTACTTTTATCTCCACCTCAAACATGTCAGCCAGATTTTTCGAGCTAAGTCTGTGCGAGTATAATTTTTCTAAATATTCACAGTCGAAATTTAACACTGAGCAGTAGTATATAGTCATGCCGATCGAGTGTGTGTTGTTTCGTACTAACCAAAATGCCACTGAGCTGCGTTTAAATTTTACTTTTGAAATTGCGCCATACTTGAATAATTTTTCCCTCAGGAACTTATAGATACAAATTTGCAAAATGTTGAACGACCTATACATAGTTTATCTAAGGATAATTTTTTAATCTCACACAAAAATTGGAAGTCTGCAATTTCATCTTTTCCAGTCGGGCTCGACAATCAGAGAAGAAATAAAATCGCAGTAGTCTTGAGATCTGCAGTTGAACCGAGAAATTTAGCGGCTGGTCGAGACTTATTTTACCGCGTTTATCACAATGCCCACAAAAGGCGTTTTTTAATCGATGAATTTCCAGGAAAGGCCGCACTTTTGACCACGTCATCCGTGCCTCTGTTGAGAAGTTCGACAAACAGCGCCGCTCAACTGCAGGTCTGGAATAAAACACCTCTGCAAACAATCTCAAGATACGTCACCTGATACGCATCTGTAGGGGTGTTTACACCTCCTGTTTACAAGTCGGCCTCCTGAATACAAGCCAACGCTCAATTTTGAGCGCTGTTGAGCAGGCGTTATACAGTCTCGATTTTACGATCAGCCAAGATATTTTCGAAATACGTATTTCTTTTATTCTGTAAATTTTACACTCTATATTTTTTCATGGTTACTTAATCGACGCATGTAAGATAAATTTTGGTCTGTATTTGATCATCAATGCCATATAAATTTTTGAAATACTCTGAAGCTAACAAATATGCAAAACATGAGCATTTACCTCAAGATTTCTGTGGTTGAATAAATATACATAAAAGACGAGCTTAATTCAAAATGAATTTCGGTTGCCTTCGCCCATAAGTTCAAGATCGAAATTTTTTGCCATTAAGGCCACTTCTTTATACAATACAACAAATCAAATATGCATTTTACCGCCCCTCATAACCCATGGTTTCCATAAATAAATTAGATTCTATATATGAGCGGACGTACGCAATTAAATGAGAAGCGAAACACAAGAAGTAGAAATAGATGCAGATTTTGTTAAAAAATAACTGAAACTATCATGTAATTTTACCGAATCATATATATTAGGAAAATTCTTATCTAAAATTTCCGTTAGCTAACAATCTTTAAACGGGTAAACAAGCTAGAGTTACCCGCTTAAGAGCGGAGGAAAGTGGGGTACATCGGGACATGTAAATTATTTCATATATTAAAAAATAATATTGAACAACAGTTTGAGGTATTTATAGCACACAAGTTAGTGCATTGATTGATGTGGTAGAGAGACGTGTCGCCCTTGCATACCTCGGTGAGCAAAATTCTGTTTTAGGTAAGGTTTCATAAGAAAGCTAACTAAATAGTTTGCTTTTCATTTTAAATGTAATAAGACTGCCCATGAAAATGAAATTGTCCGTTCATCGCCAAATATCTGTTTAAAGAAATACCTGGCTCTTCGTCATCTTTATCAGAAGAACATTTCATCTTTTACATAATTTATCTGATGCTATAGAAGAAGAATTAGTGCAAGGAAAAGTTTCAAAAATCTTTCCTGCCTTTGCAGGGAGAACGAAATCTACTTGCATTGTTCTATTCTTGTATAATTTGGTTTCACTAAAACAGAAGCATATTATGTAGGTTGGATAACGAAGAAAAAAGACGAAGATAACGAATTTGAAATATCTTACGTGCTCCATGAATCAAAGTCATTCAAAGAAACCCTAATTAATGCGGAAGAACACTATATAACATAATTATAACCTGTAATGTGAATATAATTTTGATGATATCATAATAAGGCAATGTGTCCCAATGTGCCCCACGGACTGTCCCACAGCACTCCGGGCCGGGGTACCGTGGGACATTTTATTTCATTTTGTATTTATATTATTTTCAGTCAAAGGAACAGTTCTGATCATTGCTTAGGTGCTTCGCAATGTAACAAAGGATTTGATGCTTAGTTTTATTTTGCATTTTGTATTCTATTAGGGAGTTAACAGTGTGATTTCCATTTTAATTTTTTTTTTGTTCCCTTGTACCTACCCTACTTTGGGGCCTTCTTTAGATCGGAAAGTTGAATTAATCTATCTATAATTAAATTTAAACTATGTTGTAAGCGCTGTTGTTGATGCAATTTATTTCATTTCAAATGAAAATAATCGTTAGTTGCCATTCATTTTACGTCGTGAATGTCTAGCCGTCGCAGGTTCGCGAATATTTTGAAACACCACAAGCGACCGGCGGCAGCAAAATGTCCCTATAATCCTCCACAGGACAGGCAGATCTGACAAGAAGCGGTGGGAAGAAGCGGTCTTGGAACAGCGCTTTTGCTTTATTGTTCCATGGAACATTGAGCTTTGGGTTCAGAATGAAGTCCTAATTCAATGGATGTTGCCATAATAAAACCCGGTGGCTCGCTACCTCAATGCTGATGAGCTCATGCAGCTCATTTGCGAGTATAATACTGCGGCGTGATGCTGCGTACGGTTATGGGCATGCGTTTGTGTGCGGTGGCCGGCCTGCCTTATATGGCTGCAATTGGCAGACAGATGCGCTACAGCGCACCAAGAAATGTGGTCGTGTTCATCCTAATTATTTTGCATCGATGGATACTTAATAATTGGTGACATAGGTAATGTGAACGAGTTATAGTTTTTATCAAACGAACGAAGCTTGTTGAGCTTTTGTGATTATCATATATGAAGATCAGTGAGAAAACGGGATTCATTTTATGGTCATGAAAAAATCTTCCTATGAACAGTTGAGGTCGGTCGCATATCATATACCGCATATCAATAATGTATACTCGTATTACTAACTCAGGTATTTCAACCTTAAATGAAACCGTACAAAATTACGGATCGTATTACAATCCGGATCAATAACATCACTGGTCTCTGAAATACGTAGACCAGAAAATTTCAATCACGAGATTTAGTTTATTTATTTTATTTTTATCATATTCACATTGATTTGAAAAATGAAAAGCTTAATTGAAGATAATTTTTTTTTTCTATATCATTTCTATAAAATCGTAAGCACTGATCCAGGATTAAGTATTTCATAATTAATTTAATATAATATGTGATGACCAAGCTCCAATTCAGCGCCCTGCTAGCGTCATAGATGAGCAATATTTTCCGCGCACTCAAATGCAGCTAACTGAAGAAAATGAGTGTGAAATTTCAATTAATGCAGATCTTTAAAACTGTTGTGCATCAGCAGAGCGGCGCACACGCGGCCAGTTTACCATAGAAGCATCAGTTGTGCGACACACGCGGCCAGTTTACCATAGAAGCATCAGTTGTGTGACACACACACGGCCGGTTTACCATAGAAGCATCAGTTGTGCGACACACACACGGCCGGTTTACCATAGAAGCATCAGTTGTGCAACACACTCGCGACCAGTTTACCATAGAAGCATCAGTTGTGCGACACACACGGCCAGTTTACCATAGAAGCATCAGTTGTGCGACACACGCGGCCGGTTTGTCATGGACACCGCGTCGTCCATTACCATAATGAAGAGCAGCCGCCTCATCGCCGCTCTCTGTTTACCAGCCGAGCTCGCGACACGAGTCGCAGGAACTCTGCCAAAGACGTAGGATGTAGGAACGGTAGGAAGGTATCAACTCACGGAACTTTTAATACTGATATTACTTGTTGATGCGCCTAAGTATCAATATCAGCACTTCAACGGTTTAATTGAAGAAATTAATAAGTTCGGTCATTTAACATTGAACCGAAACGTATAACTCGTCCTTTGAATTCTAACTTATTGAATTAACTCTCAAAACCGCTTAAAGAAGTGGTCATAAACACGTTGTATATTATAAACGGTTAGGCTGTATTAGTCTATCGTTTATTTTAGAAAGTGTTTTTTTAAACATTAAATTAGTAATCTGTTATCAATTTTTCACATAACCTGCAACTTTCGGATTGATTGACACAATTTTGAGACATACGTAACACTGCAATTTATGGCAATGTAAACTGCAAATGCCTTATTATTCATCGTAGTCTTTCATTATCATTTACTAAATTCTACAAGCATGAAAAACTACAAACTCACCTTCTGATGAGCCTGAAGTGAATGAAATAGTTCCTTCTTTTCAAGGCAATTAAGTTTAAAAGTTTTTGCGGATAATTTAAACTACCTCAAATTTACTGAACACGCAAGCAGTTTGAGGCGTTTAAAATCGTTTCAATGGAAACGAAAGTAATTTGGAAGCACCACGAAACATCAACGGCGTCAACCCTCAGCTGTCCTCTCGAACAAATTTGTCTTCGTATTCTGAGAGTGACTCGGCTGTGGAATTATCTAAGCGGAAAAGTGTTGGAGAAGCTCTCGAGTTCTGTTATTTTGTCAGCGATGATTTGCGCTGCGACGGAGGGAACACAATCCAGCAAATTGACGAAGCGTGAAGCGATGCGTCATGCAGCCCTACCACCCTAACCCGGTGGTTACGTATTGAGTTGCCATCAAAACACTCCTGCCTACTTTACCCGGCCGCTAAAAACATCATCAGGGCTCTGAAGCATCACTGAAACTGCCACAATAGCCCTCCTCATGTCGCATTGTGATGCAGGCGTTTGATGGAGTTGAGGTGTTCCCAACTGACGTAAAATAAACTCAAGTTCGCGTTTCAAAAGTTTCTTCCACAACACAACTTGGACGTTAGGTGCAGTGGACCTCATCCTGACAAGTGGTAGAGTAGATGTTTTTTAAATACTCAGTACTACGTAAGAAAAATCTTGGTATGAAAAGACGTTTGGAATATGCAACCTAACATTAACCGCATCTGATGATTATATAGGGAATTATACCTTCCGATATAAACTTTATAGAACTTACAGATGTCAGTACAAAAACAATAAATAACACGGATGATTTTACAAAATTTTACCCAAATTTATTACAAATCTAATACTAAAAATCTAACGACCAACTAATTAATGAGCAAACCTCCGTTTGAATAGCTCATAGGCATCAAAATAAATGATCATTGAATATCGAAACATTATAGGACGATAACTCATAAGCATTTGAAGGCCTAAAGTGAGTTTCAAGCCTCCATTCTCCATGGGAACGTGCGGGATAGAAGGTTTTCGCACACACGTGGACGGTCGGCGCAAATACTCGAGTGCGTCCTGTTGACATCTGACGTACGCGATGCCACTTCCAGTGCGCGGCTGCGACGAGCTGTCGCGTCAAGAACTTCTTCTTTTTACCCTAAAAAAGTCACCAGTCATTTGAAGAGCCGGACGCGCGCGCATAGAGTCTTCTTGCAGAAAAATTAATGAGAAGGGAATGACCCTGACATGCGTGGTAAGAATTTTGTGTGGTTTAATAGGAGGAAAAAATATCAGCAACCGGAAGACGATGTACTCGTATAAGGTTGATAACCTGAGAACTGAACAAATGTTACAATTACGAGCATCA